TAGAGAGAGAGGGGTGAGTTAAGAGAGAGGAGTGAGGTAAGAGGGGGGAGAGAGAGGAGTTAGAGAGGAGGAGGAAGGGAGAGGGAGGAGTGAGAGTAGTGGGTGAGTGAGTTAGAGAGAGAGGGAGGAGTTAGAGAGGAGGAGCAGTGAGTAGTAGGTGGAGCAGAGAGGAGAGAGTGAGGAGTTAAGAGTGGGTGAGTGAGTTAAGAGAAGGGTGGAGAGTTAGAGAGTGAGTGAGTGAGTTAGGAGGAGTGGGAGTGAGTTAAGAGTAGTGGGTGAGTGAGTTAAAGGGTGAGGAGTTAGGAGAGTGAGGAGTGAGTTAGAGGGAGGGAGGAGTTAAGAGTAGGGTGAGTGAGTTAGAGCGAGTGAGTGAGTGAGTTAATAGTGGTGAGTGAGTGAGTAGGGTGAGGAGTTAGGAGAGTGGAGTGAGAGAGAGGAGTGAGTGAGAAGAGTAGGGCAGGAGAGAGTGAGTGAGTTAGAGTAGTGAGGAGTGAGTTAAGAGAGGGGTGGAGTGAGTTAGGGAGAGGGAAAGAGAGGGAGTGAGTTAAGAGTAGGGGTGAGGAGAGAGAGGGGAGAGGAGGGAGGAGAGTGAGTGGGGTGAGTGAGAGAGAGAGGAGTGAGTTAAGATAGTGTGAGTGAGTTAGAGTGGGGTGAGTGAGTTAAGTGAAAGAGGTGAGTGAGTATAGGGGTGAGAGAGAGAGAGTGAGAGAGGGAGTGAGTTAAGAGTAGGGGTGAGTGAGTTAGAGAGAGAGGAGGAGTTAGGAGAGTGAGTGAGTTAAGTAGGGAGTTAGAGAGAGTGAGTGAGTGGAGTTAAGAGAGTAGTGGGTGAGGAGCAGAGAGAGTGGAGGAGTGGGAGTTAAGGAGGAGGAGTGAGTTAAGAGTAGTGGGTGAGTGGAGTTAGAGAGTGAGTGAGTGGAGTTAGAGAGTGAGTGGAGTGAGTTAAGAGTAAGGGGTGGAGTGAGTGGAGGAGTGGAGTTAAGAGTAGTGGGTGAGGAGTTAGAGAGTGAGAGTGAGTGAGTTAAGAGGTGGGGTGAGTGAGTTAGAGAGTGAGTGAGTGAGTTAAGAGTAGTGGGTGAGTGGAGTTAGAGAGTGAGAGAGGAGTGAGTTAAGAGTAGTGGAGTGAGTTAGGAGAGGAGAGGAGTGAGTGAGTTAAGAGTAGTGGGAGTGAGTGAGTTAAGAGTAGTGGAGGAGTGAGTGAGTTAAGAGTATTGGAGGAGTGGAGTGAGGAGGGTGAGAGAGAGAGTGATCACACCTCCAGAATATGTGAACAACGCATTAAATGGTTCATACCACCGGTTACTTGGCTACTGTCCTGTCCTTGACTGTCCTGTCCTGCTACTGTCCTTGTTGCTGACTTTGTTACTTTCCGTGTTGCTGTCCTTGCTGCACTTGTTACTTTTCTTGTCTTATTACTTATTACTATTATACTGTTTTTGTTGTTGTTCTTGTTACTGTCCTTGTTGTTGTTCGTTACTGTCCTTGTTGCTGTCTTTGTTACTGTCCTGTTGCTGTCTTTGTTACTGTCCTTGTTCCTGTCTTTGTTACTGCCCTTGTTGCTGTCTTTGTTACTGTCCTTGTTCCTGTCTCTTTGTTACTGTCCTTGTTCCTGTCTGTTACTGTCCTGTTCCTGCCTTGTTATTCTGTCCCTTTGCTGTCTTTGTTACTGTCCTTGTTGTTGTTCTTGTTACTGTCCTTGTTCCTGCTCTTTGTAACTGTCCTGTTCCTGTCTTTTGTTACTCTCCTTGTTGTTGTTCTTGTTACTGTCCTTGTTATTGTCTTGTTACTGTCCCTTGTTGCTGTCTTTGTTACTGTCCTTGTTCTTGTATTTGTTACTGTTCTTGTTCCTGTCTTTGTTACTGTCCTTATTGCTGTCTTTGTTACTATCCTTGTTGTTGTTCTTGTTACTGTCCTTGTTCCTGTCTTTGTTACTGTCCTTGTTCCTGTCTCTTCTTGTTACTGTCCTTGTTCCTGTCTTTGTTACTGTCCTTGTTCCTGTCTTTGTTACTGTCCTTGTTGCTGTCTTTGTTACTGTCCTTGTTGCTGTCTTTGTTACTGTCCTGTTCCTGTCTTTGTTACTGTCCTTGTTCCTGTCTTTGTTATCTGTTCCTGCCCTTGTTACTGTCCTTGTTCCTGTCTTTGTTACTGTCCTTGTTCCTGTCTTGTTACTGTCCTGTTGCTGTCTTTCTTCTGTTCCTGTCTTTGTTTGTCCTGTTGCCGTCTGTACTGTCCTTGTTGCTGTCTTGTTACTGTCCTTGTTCTTTTTGTTACTGTCCTTGTTGCTGTCTTTGTTACTGTCCTTGTTCCTGTCTTTTGTTACTGTCCTTGTTCCTGTCTTTGTTACTGTCCTTGTTGCTGTCTGTTACTGTCCTTGTTCCTGTCTTGTTACTGTCCTTGTTCCTGTCTTTGTTACTGTCCTTGTTCCTGTCTTTGTTACTGTCCTGTTCCTGCCCTTGTTACTGTCCTGTTCTGTCTTTGTTATGTCCTTGTTCCTGTCTTTTGTTACTGTCCTTGTTCCTGTCTTGTTCGTCTGTTCTGTCTTTGTTACTGTCCTTGTTGCTGTCTGTTACTGTCCTTGTTCTGTCTTTGTTACTGTCCTTGTTCCTGTCTTTGTTACTGTCCTTGTTGCTGTCTTTGTTACTGTCCTGTTCCTGTCTTTGTTACCGTCCTTGTTCCTGTCTTTGTTACTGTCCTTGTTCCTGTCTTGTTACTGTCCTTGTTCCTGTCTTGTTACTGTCCTTGTTCCTGTCTTGTTACTGTCCTGTTCCTGTCTTTTGTTACTGTCCTTGTTGCTGTCTTTGTTACTGTCCTTTCCTGTCTTTGTTACTGTCCTTGTTCCTGTCTTTGTTACTGTCCTTGTTGCTGTCTTTGTTACTGTCCTGTTGCTGTCTTTGTTACTGTCCTTGTTCCTGTCTCTTGTTACTGTCCTTGTTCCTGTCTCTTGTTACTGTCCTTGTTCCTGTCTTTGTTACTGTCCTTGTTACTGTCTTTGTTACTGTCCTTGTTCCTGTCTTTGTTACTGTCCTTGTTCCTGCTCTTTGTTACTGTCCTTGTTCCTGTCTTTGTTACTGTCCTTGTTGCTGTCTTTGTTACTGTCCTGTTGCTGTCTGTTACTGTCCTTGTTGCCCTTGTTACTGTCCTTGTTACTGTCTTTGTTACTGTCCTTGTTGCTGTCTTTGTTACTGTCCTTGCCGTTCTTTGTTACTGTCCTTGTTCCTGTCTTTGTTACTGTCCTTGTTGTCTGTTACTGTCCTTGTTCTGCTGTCCTTGTTACTGTCCTGTTCCTGTCTTTGTTACTGTCCTTGTTCCTGTCTTTGTTACTGTCCTTGTTCCTGTCTTTGTTACTGTCCTTGTTCCTGTCTTTGTTACTGTCCTTGTTCCTGTCTTTGTTACTGTCCTTGTTCCTGTCTTTGTTACTGTCCTTGTTCCTGTCCTTGTTACTGTCCTTGTTCCACCTTTGTTACTGTCCTTGTTCCTGTCTTTGTTACTGTCCTGTTGCTGTCTTTGTTACTGTCCTTGTTGCTGTCTTTGTTACTGTCCTTGTTCCTGTCTTTGTTACTGTCCTTGTTCCTGCTCTTTGTTACTGTCCTTGTTGCTGTCCTTGTTACTGTCCTTGTTGCTGTCTTTGTTACTGTCCTTGTTCCTGTCTTTGTTACTGTCCTTGTTCCTGTCTTTGTTACTGTCCTTGTTCCTGTCTTTGTTACTGTCCTTGTTACTGTCCTTGTTACTGTCCTTGTTCCTGTCTTTGTTACGTCCTTGTTCCTGTCTTGTTACCGTCCTTGTTCCTGTCTTTGTTACTGTCCTTGTTGCTGTCTTTGTTACTGTCCTTGTTGCTGTCTTTGTTACTGTCCTTGTTGCTGTCTTGTTACTGTCCTGTTCCTGTCTTTGTTACTGTCCTTGTCCTGTCTTTGTTACTGTCCTTGTTCCTGTCTTTGTTACTGTCCTTGTTCCTGTTTGTTACTGTCCTTGTTCCTGTCTTTTGTTACTGTCCTTGTTGCTGTCTTTGTTACTGTCCTTGTTGCTGTCTTTGTTGCTGTCCTTGTTCCTGTCTGTGTTACTGTCCTTGTTCCTGTTACCTGTCCTGTTGCTGTCTTTGTTACTGTCCTTGTTCCTGTCTTGTTACTGTCCTGTTCCTGCTTTGTTACTGTCCTTGTTCCTGTCTTTGTTACTGTCCTTGTTCCTCTCCTTTATGTCTTGTCCTTAGCATCCAGCTGTGTTTTACCTTAATAATAATAATAATAATAATAATAATAATAATAAATATTCTTTATTATTATTACTATTATTATTGTTGCTGTTATGTTATGAATGAATGACAGCGAATGCAAAGAATGTGTGTGTGTGTGTGTGTGTGTGTGTGTGTGTGTGTGTGTGTGTGTGTGTGTGTGGTCATGATTTCAGGCACTCTATATAATAACAATGAAAGACTTAAGCACAAAAAAAACAAAACAATACCTGAACCTACTGCTAAACAAATGAAGATCTAAAGAAATCTAGCATCGCATCACGTAATAAGAATTGAGAAAAAATCAAATCAAAGCAACAGATTTTATTAAAGGTGATGTGGGGGAGGAGGAGCAATGCCTGGCAAACGTGTTGGCCCTGCAAGGTGGGAACACATCTCGTCGGAAATAGACAGAGAGTGAGTGCCAAGGTGCCTATGGGTCAACTGAGGGAACCCGCTGCTGGTACCAAGATGGCTCCCTGCCAGTTTATCTAGGGAGTCTGATAATGTTGTCGTGGTGATGTAAGGGCTTAAGATGTATGCCTGGGGAGGGTTAGGTTAATCTATCTTGTTATCACATTATAAATATTAGTGGCCTAAAACGTAAACATAACTGCATTACTAAAGTCTAAATCATGCGTCAGGCAGTGTGCATAATGAGACTTGAGAACACTATCAGTCAGAAGGTTAGGGAAGAGAGGATTGGAATGAGCAAGACATCAAACAAAACCAAACAGGTGGTAAAGTATGGCTATAAACGCGAGAGTTACTTCGACAGGAGGTGCGAGGACCATACAAGTGGTGGAAGAACCTGGACTTCACGTGGCTGAGAACGGCACGGTGACGGAGATAATCCTCGACTGCCCTTACATCCTGGAGGAGAACGACAACTCTGGTCTGACTATCAAGTGGTACCAAGTGGGTAATCCCATACCTGTGTACCAATGGATTGTTAGCAGCAGCCCCCCACAGGTAAAGAGAGAGAGAGAGAGAGAGAGAGAGAGAGAGAGAGAGAGAGAGAGAGAGAGAGAGAGAGAGAGAGAGAGAGAGAGAGAGAGAGAGAGAGAGAGAGAGAGAGAGAGAGAGAGAGAGAGAGAGAGAGAGAGAGAGAGAGAGAGAGAGAGAGAGAGAGAGAGAGAGAGAGAGAGAGAGAGAGAGAGAGAGAGAGAGAGAGAGAGAGAGAGAGAGAGAGAGAGAGAGAGAGAGAGAGAGAGAGAGAGAGAGAGAGAGAGAGAGAGAGAGAGAGAGAGAGAGAGAGAGAGAGAGAGAGAGAGAGAGAGAGAGAGAGAGAGAGAGAGAGAGAGAGAGAGAGAGAGAGAGAGAGAGAGAGAGAGAGAGAGAGAGAGAGAGAGAGAGAGAGAGAGAGAGAGAGAGAGAGAGAGAGAGAGAGAGAGAGAGAGAGAGAGAGAGAGAGAGAGAGAGAGAGAGAGAGAGAGAGAGAGAGAGAGAGAGAGAGAGAGAGAGAGAGAGAGAGAGAGAGAGAGAGAGAGAGAGAGAGAGAGAGAGAGAGAGAGAGAGAGAGAGAGAGAGAGAGAGAGAGAGAGAGAGAGAGAGAGAGAGAGAGAGAGAGAGAGAGAGAGAGAGAGAGAGAGAGAGAGAGAGAGAGAGAGAGAGAGAGAGAGAGAGAGAGAGAGAGAGAGAGCCTGTGTAATAACTAGAAGACCTTGTGTATTAATCCACCTCCATGTGTGTGTGTGTGTTGCAGGCATTGGGTATCCTAGAGGGACGGCTGGACCTGTCATACAAAGCGTCAGAGGATGAGAACCACCGCCACCGAGCTCTCAAAATCATCAACCCTTCCACAGAATTGTCCGGCCAATACCAGTGCAAAATCTCCACCTTTGACGATGAAAAAGATTACCTACAGAAACTCATCATATACAGTGAGTCACCGGTTGAGGTTTAGTTTTAAATATCACTAAAAAAATATACAGCTCTACTCAAGATCAGATTTGTAATGTTTTAGATTCCTTTACTTCCATACTCCACGACACTGAGAACTATATTAAAACCTGTACTGTAAATGGCCAGAAATTAGTCATTTTTCTTGTGTCCACTGCCTTGGTAATAGTTCATTTCTCACAAGTACTGAAGTTCTTCTCAGGTTTACAAAATGTTAAAGTCCATAACTGCATATTTCTTGTTACTGTGAACAATAGAAAGTGAGAAAAGGTGAGAGATGTGAGTGTCAAAGACCACACACACACGACCACGTGAGGTCCTTCATATAGACACCCGAGGACGAGTTACTACACCACGTGAATACCACACCACCTGTGTCATGCCAGGCCTCATATCAACACGCATACGTGAATACCTCACCACATTCAACCGGACAGTCACAAATACCACCTGGTGTCTCTATGACCATGTGAGGTCCTTCATATCAACACCCGAGGACGAGTTACTACACCAAGTGAATACCACACCACCTGGTGTCTCTATGACCACGTGAGGTCTGGGGTCTGCGAGTTTGTTGGCCAGGGCAAGTGGTACACCACCTGGTGTCTCTGTGACCTTCTGCACGTGAGGTCTCACAGGGTCTGCTGAGTTTGTTGGCCAGGCTGGAATGAGGCCATGGAAAGAATTGAAGGCCAAGGGAAGAAATAGAGAAGGTAACGTTGGAGAACCTGAAATTAAAAAGAAGATGGCGAGATTAGAGAGGCCCAGGACAAGGGAGAAAGCCAGTGTCAGCAGAAAATTCCTGTAAAGCGAGTGGGGAAAGGAAGGTGTAAGGGGAGAGGAAGACCAGGCTGATGAAAAGTACACCAAGGACACATCAACAACGACTTTATCAGCAGCTAAATGCCAACTCATCAGTCCCTTGATGAACAGATTGGACGTTAGTACAGTCAGGGACAGGGCTGACAAGGAAGGGTATAAAAACTTTGGTGTTGGTGGCTCACGGGTAAGGTGCCGGACAGGGCTTTTGTAGTAAAAACATAAATGGGGTAAGGGTGTATTTGCCAGGGAGCTGGGTGGGGATATAATTGACAAGGATGGACAATATCTTGTCTGGTAATGGGAACAATCCATTATCTGCCTCAGGTAAACTGATGATATTGGCAGTGAAAGAGCAAAGGAGCTTCTTGGTAAATTCAAAACTTGACTAGATCATATTGGACTAGGGAGGATCTGCTCATATGCAGTGTCCTGCCTAGAGGACGAGTTAGCAGTGAATTAGTTGTCAAAAGAACGGTTGGGTATCGATGATGAAATATTGACAGATATTGCTAAGTCAATATCAGTCATTCAATGACAACTGGGACACTTCTGCAGAAGGGACCTTTATGCTAGGGATAAGTTGCACCTGTCTGGGGATGGGTAGCCCAACCTGGCTGGGGCTCTAGAGACGGTTAAAAGATATCAGAGTCTTTAAACTGCTGGGGAACATATGGTATGGGGGTGGAGAATGCAGTGGGGCAGATAAACAAAGTGAAAGATTACAGAAGAAATGATGTTAGGAATGATGACAAAACTAAATTAGACGAGGAGTTTTTAAAACTAATGGCAGTAAAGGAGGACTCAAACCACGACTAACTTAAATATATACTCTGAAGACGGTAGAGAGTATGAGAAACAAAATGGATAATGTAGGGAATATGGTATGTGCAGGAAAATCCAAATAATAGCATTCACTGGAAACATGGATCAACCCTAAACTCACGTGAGTTGCAATTCAAATATGAATTGCAGGTTACAAACTGTTCCACACGATGAGCAGACTGGGAAAAGGAGGAGAATGGCAATCTATATGTTGAGATAATCATTGTGAACTAAATAAGGAAATAAAACTAGGTGGAATAGAAACCAATTTGGATAAATTAAGCGACGGTAGTAGGGAAAAAATTAATCTGGAGAAATATATAGACCTCCCAATCTTTTCATTTCAAGTCAATAGGCTTATCTGGGATGAAATGTGGGAAACCCCCACTTTACAACAAAGTCTGTATAATGGTAACACAACCTTGGCCAAATAGATTGAGACTGACCTTACAGGTGGCGAATCAGAGGAATTTCTTGGGGCGATCAGGACTGTTTCCTAAGTCAACCTTCTTGGTCCCACGGGTAATAATATACTTTCTATTTAGTTCCTTTCAGGGTAGAAGAAAGCCTCATTAGCAATGTGGGGTGGGGCGAACTTGCAAATAATGATCACAAAGAAATTAAATTTGATTAGTTTTCAAGGCAGACATGGGGAAAATTCACTGATGCCAGATTTCAGAAGGGCAAGCTTTGACGGTTTGAGGCAGCTGAAGGGTGCATGCAGCGTGAACCTGACAGATAACTACCGACGTGAGATCTGGGTGCAAAGATTCATGACAATTTAAATAATGGTTTAACCAATATGGCCAGAACATACCATACCAAAAGAAACTCAGATCAGACAAAAATGACCCTAAATGGATAAATAATTATTTAAAAGAAACATCATTGGTAAAAGGAGGCTATAGGTAGAGGATAAAATGTGAATTACCTCGGGATTATTATAGGGTATTGGTGAGAAGGTTAAAACCGAGGATAAATGAGAGAATATTAGGGGTAAGGATAGCGAGGCCGAGAATAAACCCCAGAAAGTTCTACCAAATGTATCAGCTAGAACACGAGAAGATTGGACCAATGCGGTCAGATACCCATGACTCACTGATAACGGCAGAGAAATGAGCAATAATTTGAATAAATATTTTTCAACAGTTTTTACAACAATTTAAACATGATGCAGGCACGACTCTATTCAGAGATATTAGAAAACAAATTAAGCGAGATAATGGTGACTAATGTGATGTTAGTAAGCAAATACACAAACTAAAGCCTAATAAGTCACCTGGTCCCAATAGGATATTTGCCCAGAGTATTAAGGTGCAAGGAAAACGAAATGTACCCATAGCAAAGTTGTTGCTTGTATCCTTAAGAAACTGGGTGTAGTACAGAATCCTGGAGGATGTGTGAATGTAATACCATTTTTCAAGAAAGGATTCATCACTATCCTCTAACTTCTTAATCAGTCTAACTTCAATGATAAGCAGTGCGACAATCATTTCAAACTCTATTAAAATCACTGGAAGCTTGATTGATCAATGATTTAGCATGACTTACAAGCGGACATTCATGTCAAACCTAATCTATTAACATTCTTTTTGTCAGTTTTCAGATCAGTGGCCGAAGTGGCACAATTATGATGTGGTATATCTCGACTTTATGAAGCCTTCGATGAGGTCACGAAAGACTAATAATTAGAAAGGTAGAACTACATGGCATCAAAGTAATATCCTTAAATGGATTAGGCGTGGCTGGGATTGAAACAATGAAGTGAGCATTAATAGCACTAAGTCCCATTGAGCAACATCACAAATGGGTTCCCCAGAGCTCGATACTTGAGATTACATTATTATTATTATATACACAAACAGATATCGCTTTGACAGCAACATAAACCAAATTTGCTGATGACACTAAAATAAGTGTTATTTGTCTGGCCGAGGACTCTTAAAACTTCTGGAAGATCTAAACAAATTTTTTGAATAGTCTGAAAAAATGGCAGATGAAATTCAACGTGGACAAATGTAAAGTGCTGTGCTCAGTATAGGAAGGAATGTAAACAGAAACCAGATACCAGATGAACAACGATGCCATAAAAGAAATCCATTGCAGAGAGAAATTTTAGGGTAATGATAAGTGGGAACCTTAAGCCAAGTAAACAATGTATTTTGCTCCTTCTAACAAGGCTAATAAAATGTAGGTTCATACAAAGGTGTTAATTTTAAGACTAACGAGGTCATCCTAAAACTGTATTTTGCTTTCTTGAAGATACACCTGGATTCGCGGAACCAGTTCTGGTCGCACGTGTTACAGAATGGATTCTGATCCTTGAAATAATTCAGAGGCCTTAGAACTAATCCCAGGCGTAGGAACCTTGGGTATAGAGACAGGTTAAAGCATCTTAATTTTGCACTCCACTCGAGAGACGTGGGCGAGGGCGACCTGATGAGGTGTATATACCGTGGAAGGCGGGCTAAGCTCAGGGACATTACAAAGATACTCAAACTATCCAACGAGGGAAGCGAACTCGTAACAATGGTTTTAAATTAGACAAATTAGATTGCGACGTGAAATAAGTAAGTACTGGTTTGAAACAGAATGGTGGATGAGTGGAGACAAATTTTAAACCTCCTTCGATACTTCGAACAACTGAAGCAGTTTCCTCCATTCTTATGTTCTTATGTTCTTATATCAACACCCGAGGACGAGTTACTACACCACGTGAACACCACACCACCTGATGTCTCTATGACCACGTGAGGTCCTTCATATCAACATCCGAGGACGAGTTACTACACCACGTGAACACCACACCACCTGGTGTCTCTATGACCACGTGAGGTCCTTCATATCAACACCCGAGGACGAGTTACTACACCACGTGAACACCACGCCACCTGGTGTCTCAATGACCAGCCCAGGCCCGGGCCATCAACTGTAAACTATAATAATTTGTATGTTCAATTCATGTTCCTTCTTCTTTCAGTTATGAAAGCTTTTGTTAAGCGACTCACCCACCCCATGTCTTTGTATGTAATAAGTCATTTTTGTCCAATGTATATTTTCAGCCTTCATGCTGCAGAACTTTTTGGATAAACCGTTAATAATTATCACAAGCACACACACACTAATGAGTTTTAATATTTTCTGTCGCTACAGTCAGGAACTACTGTAGCAAAGATTTACAGCTAAAATGCCATCACAATTGTGAGTTATCAGCAACAAAAGAGGTGTGGCGGCCTAGTGGACACAACACTCACCTCTCTTGCTGAGGGTTGTTAGTTTGCATCCAGGAAACTCCAGTTCACCCAACTGTGAATGGGTGTCTAACTTGACAGTGAGGAAAGTAAAAACAGTAAAGTGGAGTCCAGGTCACACTCCTGCCTTGTGTACCAAAGGCTCTTTCTATAGTACTATAATATACAGAAAAGTACTGTATCTGCACTGCCTATAGGTCCAATTTTCACTTTTCACCACCTAAGCGGCACTCCTCAGTGGTAGTTCCAGCATATAGTTTGCACTATTAAATACCTAACAAGTATGTGCACACCAGTCCTAACTTTAAGTCACAAGATATTACTAAATTATATATTAAATTATGATGTACAAGAAATAACACCAAGAGAAAAAGTTCCCTGGGTTACTGTACTGTACACTGTCTTCTTTAGTCTCAAGATCTCTGACAAAGTAAGACCAGGATGTCTTCCCACTCAATTGATAATCATATCTGCCTACAACAGTTAATATGTGACTAATATATTTTTCCTGATCCAAAATGTGTTATTCCAAGTAGAAAAACAATAGACGTTACACTTACTGAAGGTACAACTCCAAGATTCATGGAAGGTAAAAATGTGTAAGAATTCCCGTACGGTTCAGCAAAAGATTGCCAGACCCATTGTACTATTTGCCTTACAATCTTACACAATATTGCCTTGTCTTACTCTGTACTGTATGCATATTATCCATGCTAGAAATTTGTAGTTCAGCTGCCTGGTGATTGGTAGCAAGTGAGACAATGTGCCCCTTTTGACCTTAAAGATAATACAATTGTCATTCATCATTGTGTCATCTCACCTGTGGGAGTGACAAGTGACTAATTAAGCACATGTACCTGTACCTCCTCAGGTAAGCCGCAGGTGGTTGAGGTGTGGACGGAGCAGCGAGAGGACAACGTGGTGACTGTGGTGTGTGAAGTAGACCAAGTGTACCCACAACCAAACCTACACCTCTGCCAGCGCTCAGCTGACAGTGACTGGTCAGTTCATAAGCTTCAGTCACCTACAGATACAGTCTGCTTGGTGCCACATAAATACCATGATCAATATCTGCCTAACCTATAACGGCTTATCAATCACCAGAATTGAAGGATACAAGTATTCATTTTGATATTATTCACTTTCTTGAATACAATAACAGTAATATGTTTATTTTCTGCTAATATGGAAGACGTGATTGCTAGGGAAGTGATGTTGCAACAGTAGTTTGTCTCCTAATTGCTTATAAAGGAGGTCCCTGACTTACGAACGTCCTCAGGAACGGAGCCCATTCGTAACCTGGGGACCCCCTGTAGAGTTAAAAGTATAAAATGATGTACAGCTGACAGACTAAATCTATAATTCTGACATATTACAATTAATTCCATGAAGCATAAATCTGAGCGGGGTGAAGGAGGTTAACTCATGGTCCCGAGGTTCATACAACATGACGGTGGAGCGAGAGGTTCATGAAGACACCCTCGATGGTCTTACCACCTTCGAGTGTGTGGTGACCATCCCTGACACCAAGGTGGAGATGCTTGACCACACCAAATACCAGCCTAGTGAGTACGGTACCCCCTTTCTACCACACCACAACTTACACCACAGCAATACCTCCACCACACCAACACCTACACCATACCACCACAACCACCAACTGTACCACATGACCACCTACACCACACCACCACCTACACCACACTACCACCTGTGCCACACCACCATCTACACCACACCACGACCTATACCACTACTAACCTAAAACTAATGCCCTACACCACTTAGTTACCTTAATAAACTAATACCAGCACAATAAAACACAGTACTTTTTTTAATATTTCCTTTGTGAATATATCTCCTATATAATCAGTCAATATAAGAAATTAAAATGATTCCTTGCAATTAACTAAAGAAGGATAAAATATGTTCTGTAACAGCCTTAAGTGTTGCAACAGTTGTAATTATAACACCTCTAACAACCTAAAATGTAATTCAGATTGAAATGTAATCAATGGGGTCGAATGTCATACAGACTGACCTTAAATGTAATAAATCAGTTTACCATAAATATAACCCCTCTAATAATACTAATTCACCCTAATTATGGTTAACCAATTAATTACATTTAAAAGGTCTGTTCTTGTTACACTAAATATAATTATTACATTTACACTTTGAGAGTAATTACCATACATGTTAGATACAGATTACATATATAAGCGTTTCCTTTAACTAACACAGCACAGTGCTGTTACTAAAAACTTTATGTCTTCTTCTTTCACAGGACTTCAAGTACAAGACCCAGAAGAAGGTAAGAGAGACAGCATACATAAGAGATTACTATATACATTATGGGATGTAAAAAAGGAAAAAAGAACATTACTGTGGATGTCCATAGGGGGATAATTTGTCTACAAGTTTGCCGTTAAATTAAGAGGGATTTTTGCCGATATTTATGACTTCACAATTCACTGTCTCTGGTTTTGTGTGAGTGAGTGAGTGAGTGAGTGAGTGAGTGTGTGTGTGTGCGTGTGAAGAAAATGTTCATACTGCATCAATCTACCTAAAAAAATCATTGTTATGGCAACTGTGATCCCTGAACTCCACCACCCCTGAGTATTTACTTAATTTTATCCTTGTACAATACGTCCTATAGATCAAGGGTTCAAAAGTGGCATTAAACTCATATTTAGGCTTAATGACAAACTATAAATGTACCGTACACATTAGTTCCAAGAGCAGTACAGTGCTAACTCTCAATCCCTGATACGACCCACTGAAAGGGACCCCTGGATACCGTATTTAAACTCATCCGTCAATGAAATACACGGCACAGTAAATAAATCATAGTGTATTCGCTAGGAGGATTATGTACACAGCATACACTCTTAATACTCTGTGAATTAATCAATGTAATGTGTACTGTTGTTTCAGTATGTTACATCTAATAGGACTCATTATGTTAGCTTGTGTTTCATTGTTGTTTTACTTAGGTTATGTTAGGTAATACTGTATAAGATGTTAAGGCACCTGTCTGCATGAATATTATTGTGTTTTTCAGTGAAGATTGGAGGAGGGAGTGAGGTGCATTCAGCCATGACTGTCCTGGTTGGCATTGCCCTGTTGGCCGTCTGGCGGGTATAAGGTAAGTTACTCTACTGAGACTATTACATTTATTACCCACACTTTATAATTACTAGAGGAACAATTCACCCTAAAGAAAGTGGGATGTACCTTATTGCTTCCCACTACTGTATATATATATCTCTTTCTCTCTCTCTCCCTCAGGTTGTCTGGAACAAGGTTTTGACCCAGACTCAATATCAGCTTCACTGATAGCCAAAGCTGCCACTGCCTCCTGGAGAAGATATCAACATGAAGACTTCCAAGACATAAAGGATGTTTAGAGTGAATCAAGGCATCGTACCACAGCTGAGTGAAGGCAGCCTCCTGTACCATGTATTTAACCGCTGCTACAGGAGCGTACACCAACAGATAACTCCTGAAGACCTCCTGATACATCTTACCGTTTTGGACCACCTCAAACAAATCCCTCTGAAATGGTTCCGAACAAACAGGAACTCAAGTCTTGGAAAAATCAGAATGTGCTGTGTTTTAATTTTCTTGGTTCCATCTTCTCTCTAAGTTATGGTGATGATTTGTAAAATTGTGTATTATCTAGTCACTGAATTTATAGTTATAATATTGTGCCATTTATACTTTCGCTATTCCCCATGTTGTATCTCATTACGTATGTTCAAGAGGGGATTAGTGGCATGACGGATGACAGCGGATGTTTGGACAAAGAAGCACGGCTGACATTTGGACATCATTAAACCCTTGTGTACATTCACATCACCCATAGAGACATTTCATGATAGTTTACATCGTGGCTTTGTATCTTAGGAATTTATTCCTTTATAAGAAGTGTTTAATGACTGGAAGCCACTGTGATGAAGAACCCTGTTGTGTGTGTTGGGGTCGAGAGTGTGATATTATTGCCTGTTTAGTTTTTACCTTCATGGTACCTTTTTGCCCTGATATATAAAGCTTTAATATAAGTTAAAACATGTGTATAATATATATATTATACACAATATACTGTACTATGAATATTTTATAATATTCACTACACACACACACACACACATATACATACACGCACAAGATAAGTAAGAGTCATTCATACATTAGTTGTTCATAATGCTACATATGGGAAGAAGGTCACACGTTAACACAGCATCAACACACAGCCACAGGAGGAGCGTGAGCTGTTTACCACTTCCGTGTATGGCAACAAACATTCATCAGCCCATTCTCCTGTGCCTCACATTTGGAGCACTTATAAATAAACACTTGGTACCGACTCACTCGGCATGGAAGACCTAGTCTCCCCACACACCTTACTGCCTCCCCTCCACACTTCACTGCCTCCCCTCCCCTCACACACCTCACTGCCTCCCCTCCCCTCTCCCACACACCTCACTGCCACCTCTTCCCTCCCTACCACAAATACAGTACTGCAGCCACCTTATTACCTCTATGCTTACTTAAAAACAAAAACAAACACTAAAGAAGTATCAGTGAAATTTCCATTAATGTTGTGGCATTTAAAAATCTGATAAATGACTTACAGACAAACAAACCAAAATAGAAATGAACAATTCTGCAAGATGGAAACACTGTCACTGGGTTCAGCCATTGTACAGGAGAAGGTAATGTAAAATAATGGTTGGGTGACTGTAATGTTTCACTTTATTAATCAGGTTCTGCAAGGGAACTAATATTACAAAAGATATTGACTTAAATTAAGACAGTGTAAACTGATGGAATGCTGTGGCCAAGGAGACTTACACAAACACCATGGACTGTCTCTCACCATCCACCACTGAGTCCATTAACACTATCACAGCCACTTCCACCTTTTATCATTAAAGAGTGTACCAAGAGCACCAGAGAGGCGCTAGCACCACCTACCACTGTAGTAGTGGGCAGGGTGGTGGGCCTCAAGGATGAACTGGACCTATAATTCAATGCCGCCATTAACAACTTGGCCATGACACGCTGCATATCTCGGTGACGTGCCGGACATCATAATTATTAGTCTATGTTAAAACATACTACTTGTGCATTATCATTAGCAACTTCACTTTGCAATCCTGGGTTTCCATGTACATAAGGAATATATTTGAAATAAATGAGAGAATGTATCACATCCTATGCTGTGAATTACCCAAGTTCACCCTTTACAAATCTTTGATACTGTTGACAATGGTAGAACCTGGATCTGGATTCTCAGAGTCATATGTTAGAATTTATCACCTAAATGGAAATATGTGAGAGCACGCTTAGTTACAGTAAAGCATCAAGCAATTTATATTCGCTTTTGGTTGACATGTTTGCTCTATCTCCTAAGTACAACAGTAAGATATATTGTTATCATTCATGTAATATAAAACTTTAGTGTATGAAACTGAGAATCTGGAACCTTATCAACATGTGTTATGTATGCTTGTTTTTCACATACTGTTGAGAGTTTATAATAAAGAAATATACCAATGACTCAGTCTGTGCTTGTTTCTGTACCTATACTGTAATAACAGATGCGTTCACTGATATCAGTGTAAGAATTAATAAATATTAAGCCTACAAAATTTGACCAGACAAATTTAAAAATGAAAATGATAACTTCCATCTTGCTACCAACACTCTGGCACTTCAGCTGTAAGGTCAAGGTCAAAGTTCAACAGATGCTCATTAAGTGTGATTCCACCTTTACACTTGCATGACATCCACTTTGTGTTTATGTAAAAATAAAAACTCAATATACCTTTAAATTTTTTAATCTCATAGAAATATCAAAGTTGCATAATATTCAATAAACATTCAAGTCTCTTTTTGTGATATAATTAAGAACACCGTAAAATATATACTGTGGTGCTCTGCTTCAGCAATGAATTTCATATACTGTATGAACAACAATGATGCATTATTTGATGATTTTACCACAAAAACTTATTACGTTTATAAGCAATTTACTGACGTTAAGTAGGAAAACTGCAACACTGCAAATATTTAATGCAAGAAGCTGATTCTCTATAGATAATGAAGATTCAATTACCACACCTACTTACTTTATAAAGAGTTAGGTCTGGATGATTGATTTGGTCAAGTTAGGTTATCTTTGATTAAGACAGGTGAATATGAGGTGAGATTAGATTGTCTGTTTTAAGAGTCACAACCATTCATAATATTGATGAAATAACTTCACCGGAGCTCAATATCTCTACGATCAATCATCATCAGAATTAATCGTTCTACCGCATCATAATATTTTTAGTTTAGGTGAGCCAAATATTGTGCTGGAAGACTATTCAGAAGTGCCTTAAAAATGTGAAGATGATTTAATGTGATCAAGTTTCATTGTTAGTTAGATAAATGCTGAACAAAGTCACAATGAAATCTGATACTGTACCTGTATACCAATTGAATATTCTTTAAGAAGTTATTTTAATCACTGAATGTAGCCAAATGGTTGATTCAGTCATTATGAAATGTTCAAAGAATGAGATGTAATTATGTTAGTTTGCAAGTTTGATAAAAGAAAGGAAAGTGAGTCCCACAGACCTGATGACCCATTTATGGCAGTGTGGACACAGCATAATGTGCACTAAACCTACAACACACAAGGAGGCAATGTGGCCAGCACTGCATTAGACAAATTTTACTTCCCCAATGAAAAGTTAGATACCTATCCAGTGCTGGGTGGACTGGATGTGCCCTTGGGACTGGAGGTTGGTACTTTATTTTCATTACATTATATATAAAGACAAAGTACTAACATCATTATAAATAAATAAAAAATACAGATCACAGACTACTATAGTTTAACAATACTGTACTATGCTGCATAATATAAATAACCTAAGTTAGCTACAATATGCACTCCACGTTGCAAAATTCTGCATTACTGACTCCCATTATGTAAGTTGAGATTGTGTTCCCAAGGAAAAAATTTTCTGCCCCAAAATGTAACACAAGCACACACACAAATGAAAACAAACACATACAATAATTCATTCATGATGTAACATGACAAATAAATGTATACACTTGAATTTAATTCACCAAAAATAATGTTGAGTGCTGCAGGAGATGGTGAGGTGAGGTGGTGCTATCAGAGTTACTGGGAATTAACTCCTTAAAACATCAAGTTTAATGTCCAATGTAATTCCTTTATGGAATCTTTTATCACCACTGCTTTCACTTGAATTTGATGGCCTTTTACCACTCATCTTGTGTACGAGTACACAGTAACGCTGGATAGCTTAAAACATAGGTTGGATGGATATATGAGCAATAGGGGTAGGGTGTAAATGGGACTGCCCAGTATGGGACAATAGGCCCGCTGCAGTTTCCTCCATTCTTATGTTCCTATGTAACACATTCATAACTGAACACAAACTGGGGACAGAATTCAAGCTGAACAGCGCCATTGTTGTGGTGGCTGCTACCAGCTGGAGAGCAGAGCCACTAGCCAGTGATCATGCAGCTACCAGCAGAATCCACACGAAATAAAATTTATAATTTCAGTGAAATTTTTGTTTTTATATCGATATTTCTTTTCTTTTGAAAATCTTAATAAATTAACCATAATTCCATAAGGGTGACAAAAGTCCTGAAAACAACCTGGGGAAAGAATTCAAACTGAGTAGCGCCATTGTCGTGGTGCTGAGTAGGTGATCATCTTTCCAAACGTCTTGTAGCTACCATCAAGAATCCACACAAAATAATTTTTTTTTAATTTTGGTGAATTTCTTTGTTATATACATATAGCAATTTTATGTTCGAAAACTTTTAAAATTTCCCTAAATTCTGTAAGGGCGATTTTTTTGGTCGTAATATAAAAATTTGGTAAGACCGAATTTTCATAACCCAGGATTCTGCATCGCGGTGGTTGCCTGTACTACACTGAATAATATCAATAACCTAAGTTAGCTACAATATATATAAGAGAATATTGCACATCTTTTTTCTTGCACAGCTTTAAGTAACCTAATGAGATCATCGAAGAAATGACAGCTAATCAGCCATTATACGACAAGAGACAAAACCATAAGCCAAGCAGCAGACACAAGTTATTACCATCTTAATACTGTATAAGAACCTCAACAGCCTAACAGCTTAATACATCAACTACAAGTCTTATAACCTTTATCATATATAATAACTCATTACAAAATCACTGGCTGGTTAAACTAGAGTAACATTAAATATAATGATGGTTATAAATACACTGGTGTATCATTATGACTAGATGAACCCCCTGTTATAGCCAGCAGCATGTATGGAATTATTTCTGTACATCCCAGCCACAAGCTACCTATATACTGTACACCTCTCTCTTATCATTTATCTTGGGGTGTTAAAACTGCCATACTTAAATACAGATACTGTAGTAATACTTAGTAAGAACTTCTAAATACTGTACTGTAGTGTATAATAGAGGGTGGTTCACTGTATACATTAAACTGAAAACTGCATAACTATAGACTAGCCAAAACAACTATTAATGTTATTAGTATGAGGGAATAAACTTTCTATAATAACTGGAATATTGTTAATTATATTAGTATTGATCCCATTAATAACAAAATACTTATAAACAAACCGAGCTGCTGTACACTGTAATAATAGTAGTGACCTTATCAATACAAATGGATGAACTACTAGGCGAGACGACCAACTGTAAATTAGTATTATATCTTATTCATTCATTTATATTAGTATACTGTACTGACCTTATTAATAAAAGGGGGTCAATATGTTATGATAACTGAGCATTATAATTACTTGTATGTTTGTGGTTATGGGTGTTGTGAACCATTCTCTTGCTGACAGTAAGTCAACCACGACTGAGCGATGATCACGTCAAGAGGGGAGTCGACTTCCAAACTGTCGCAGTGAGGGATTTCTATGTAGCCACACCTAAATGAACAAACACAGTTGTATTATAAACTAGAGAAAGAAATTAAAAGATGAGATGAGAAATAAAGAGAAGAGAATGGCTAAAATTATACACACTTTTCCAAAACCTTAAACATCCATTAATATTAAGCTACAAAAGATCTTCAAGACTGTGTTGAAAAAAAAAAAATAAAGAATCCCTTAAAATGTTAACCAACACAATATTATCTAAGATCATAAGAGAAATGGGAATGGTGGAAAATATCAAGTGGTGATAACATTTTGAGGAAGCATAAATAAACTTTAACCCTACAACCTTTCATCTTCTTTCTATATCATTAGTTTCATTGTCCATTAAACAATCTTCATAGAATACAAAGTGAACCTTCAACAGTACTTCCACTTACTAACGATGCTTTACATAGGTTCTGTAAAACCTCTTAAAATATTAGTAGGGACGGCCTCACTAACCTTCCACCTTGCAGAAGACCTTCATGAATGAGTCTTGCTTTACATATATAAAACATTCCATTTTCATAAAGATCACCGTCCCAGTCCTGGCGCCTAGGACGTTGTCTAGCATTAAAGTTGAGAGGATATGTCGGCTCCCCTGAAAATACATAATACTGTACTGATGTTATCTCAGGTGAGTACTATACTGTATACAGTATAAATAATACTGTACACTGTATTTGAATGAAACAGAGTCCAGATGTTAAATTATAGAAAGGAAGGAGTATATCAAAATGAAACGAATGGTGTATACAGGTACTGCAAATGGTGGTCTGGTAAAATGAGTCTATCTAAATGAAATATCTGGATGTATTTAATGAAAAAGGATGTAACCCAGAACACTGCACTGGGAAATATGGTAATCTCTGCTCCGGAACCAAAGCTCTAGAAGGGAAAACACTCTTTAGAATGTGTACAAAGGTGACAACTAGTTGAATAAAGAGTGAAGAGAAAACAAATACAGCTCAGCTCCTCCCCGACTTACGACGGGGTTAGGAACCCAAATCCAGGTCGTAAGTCAAAATGGTCGTAAGTCGAAAATGCTTAAATAATACATAGAAAATCTAAAATGGGTGTCTCTTTTTCTTCTCAGCGCCACAAAACTCTCACTTTTAAGCTTGCCAGCCATTTTAAAGTAAATTACAAACAAAATTTTTGTCTGTGTACTGACGTTGGGACTCGAAAATATGTAATTTGACAAAATTTTGGTACGACTGAGGCAGGTCGTAAGTGCGGGTGGTCGTAAGTTGAGTGGGTCGTAAGTCGGGGAGGAGCTGTAGTAATGAACATTGCATGAGGTACTATAATGACCTGCTTTCATTCAATTTACTTCAGTTAATGTTGGTCATGTCCACTCACCTTCAGACCACCGTAAGAGGTGTCTCCGAGTTACTGAGAAAACACAGTCATAGCCACTTTGCATTTTATCCATTCCTTCATGGAGATACCCAGCTCGAATGAAGGGCGAAGTGCACTGCACAAGGCACACAACACTGATATCTGTAAAAAAATACTGAACAGAAGACCTGACTAAATCACACTACCAAAGGGGATGGGGAGTTCAGATTTTACAAACTACAGGATTTTCCAGATAGTGTTTCCAGGAGCATAAAATAAAACAATTTAAGTATAAATTCACTGACATAAGTTCCTGATCAGACTCATAACAAAACTACAGGACAAACACTGTACTTTTAAAGACAGTTCCCACACTGTACAGCACATGCATTACATAATAACATTGCTTTAATACTGAATTTCTGTTGGAAAACATTACTTGTATTGACTATCTTTCTCATCCAACACTGTCATCTGTATCAGAATCAATTTTTTTTTAATTTGCTCATCATACCTGGGTGGTGCTGGAGAAATTCTTGTACAGCACACAATGATGAGGCTTTATCAACAGCAGTGTACTGTGCTCTGTAGTGAACCTCGGCACCTCCGTCCTTTGCACACTCTGCAATCTTGTCATCATCTGTGCTAACCCATATGCTACTAAAACCTGCAAATGAGGAGAGAAAATGTCCAGTGTATTATGACGAAAACGTCATTGAAGAAAAGTTCTTTTAGAACTGCCTAATATATTATTTAGAAAGATAAAATTCTTAAGATTCCCACGTTGTCCAAAGTAAAAATTTACCGGAAAATGAAAACTACAGTATATCTTTCAGTATAATATGTGAATAAAATAGAAATAATGTATATATCCTTACACTTGGCTTCCTGCATAACTTCCAGACATCTCAGCAACAATGGTTTGTTATCAAGAAGAACCATGTTTTTATTTCTAATACTCTTGCTGCCACTTCTTGCCAGCACCAGCCCGGTTACACACATTTCTGAAACAATAACTTCATCTATACCTACAACTGAAACTTATATAATGCAAAATTTATGTATTTTAAGTTAATATAAAGGACTAACCCGCCGGGGATGCACAGCGCCGATAAGGCCGTATCATCTCACGTCCAGAAAATGCCTCAAATTTCACCATATCATAATAATTGTTTTCTGCTTAATATACCAGGGAAGTTAGGTTAGGTTAGGTTAGGTTAGGTTAGGTTAGGTTAGGTTAGGTTAGGTATGTTTGTTTGGTTTGCTTTGTTAGGACTGTTCTTCATACCCTCATATGTTAAGTTGCGTTTATTAAAAAATTATAAATTTTTTAACATATTTCCACAAACTACAACAGTGTTCACTATAACATAACAAAGAAAATCAGGCGTTTTTATAATTTGTTTTCAATCAATTTTGCTGGCGGGTTAGTCCTATATAATTACTGTATTTTATATTAACGTAATATTATGTAAAGGTACAATATATATGTGAATAAATCATGTTTGAGATTCATATTAGTAGATCAATACATCCCCCAGCAGCATCAGAAATATAGTATAGTAATCATTCTCAGTTCACACAGGCCAATTGAGTACTATTATTATTAATCACACATATCCTCTATGACTACACACGTTAGTTTATCATGTTAAAACAATAAACTTTCGCAGTTTCACATTATTTTTGTCGGTTGTGTTCGACATGTCACCTTCTACTTCTAGTAATATTTGTACAATTAACAGGAAGTCTTCTCTTTAAATACTGCAAGAGCCAGTTGACATTGATGGTGTTCATGGATGGTTGTTGTGGTAGTTGACATTGATGGTGTTCATGGATGGTTGTTGTGGTAGTTGACATTGATGGTGTTCATGGATGGTTGGTGTGGTAGTTGACATTGATGGTGTTCATGGATGGTTGGTGTGGTAGTTGACATTGATGGTGTTCATGGATGGTTGGTGTGGTAGTTGACATTGATGGTGTTCATGGATGGTTGGTGTGGTAGTTGACATTGATAGTGTTCATGGATGGTTGGTGTGGTAGCGGTGGTTTAAGTGGTCGCTTTAGTTACGTTTTCCTTGTTGTGGTCGGTTAAATTCCACTGTTATATTTTTTTTTGCTCTTTAAATGCACTAATGCGCACTGCTTGTACCACTAGGATATGTATCTCTTTCTTTCTTAATAATAAAATATATTAATATCACAGAGATTCAGTAGTAGCAGTTCAGAGTGGTTTAATACATACATCATCTTTACATTGTGTTTTGTATAATAGTGAGAGGATCGAATAATACCATCTCCATTACAGTATTATTTTTATTAATAAATACATATTACATACTGTACATTTTGTACATTTGTCAGGCTTATATACTATATGTGTTCATTATGATGAAAATTAATTCAATGAGTTATCAGACATGTGAGGTAGTGTGAATAACTAGCGGATGTATCTAGTCAACTTCCTCCACGGTGGGTCCTCGTTCTCTGGTGGCGTTGGCTTCTGTTGTCCCTTCACCTGGTGAAGATGACCCGTGGATCTTGGCAGCCACGGGTCTCCAGTGGTCCTCCAGTTTCTGAAGTTGGGTCTCCAGCTGTTCCTTGTTGGCCAGCTGGTTGTTGTCGAGCCAGGTGAGTGTGTGGTCGACGAGGTCGGTTACACCCTGCTTCTCCTCCTGCGTCAGTCTACTGGAGACGCCCTCCTCCCTCAGGCTGCTCTTCATACTCAGACACAACGACTCCAGGCGGTTCTTGGTCTCTACTCTCTCTCGCTGGCGACCGTCTTCCTCAGAATATTTCTCGGCTTCCTCTACCATTCTGTCAATTTCTTCCTTGCTCAGTCGACCCTTGTCGTTGGTGATGGTGATCTTGTTGGCTTTGCCTGTCGACTTGTCCACGGCCGACACGTTCAGAATACCGTTGGCGTCGATGTCAAAAGTGACCTCAATTTGGGGAACGCCTCTTGGGGCAGGAGGAATACCTGTCAGGTCAAACTTGCCCAGCAGATTATTGTCCCTGGTCATAGCTCGTTCACCCTCAAACACCTGGATGAGGACGCCCGGTTGGTTGTCTGAGTACGTGGAGAAAGTCTGCGTCTGCTTGGTGGGGATGGTAGTGTTGCGTTTAATGAGAGGAGTCATGACACCGCCGACTGTCTCGATCCCCAGGGACAAGGGCGCCACATCTAGCAGCAGCAGGTCCTTCACTTCGTCAGACTGGTTGCCACTTAGGATGGCGCCCTGGACGGCGGCACCGTAGGCCACCGCCTCATCTGGGTTGATGGATCTGTTCAGGTCTTTGCCGTTGAAGAAGTCCTGCAGGAGATTCTGCACCTTGGGGATGCGGGTGGAGCCTCCCACCAACACAATATCGTGGATGAGACTCTTATCCAGCTTGGCGTCCCTCAGAGCCTTCTCTACCGGAGTCAGAGTCTTGCGGAACAGGTCGGAACACAACTCCTCGAACCTGGCTCGGGTGATGCTGGTGTAGAAGTCAATTCCTTCAAACAGTGAGTCTATCTCCACGTTGGCTTGTGAAGACGACGACAAGGTGCGTTTGGCTCGCTCACAGGCTGTTCTCAGACGTCGTAAAGCTCGCTTGTTGCCACTAATGTCCTTCTTGAACTTCCTGTGGAACTCTTGCGTGAAGTGACTCACCAAACGGTTGTCAAAATCTTCACCACCAAGATGGGTGTCCCCCGCCGTGGACTTGACCTCAAATATGCCGTCGTCAATACTTAAGACAGACACGTCGAAGGTTCCACCACCCAGGTCAAAGATGAGAACGTTACGTTCCTGGTTGTGTGTGGCAACAGACTTTTTGTCAAGACCGTAGGCGATGGCTGCCGCTGTGGGCTCGTTGATGATGCGAACAACGTTGAGGCCAGCGATGATGCCGGCATCTTTGGTGGCTTGGCGCTGTGAGTCATTAAAGTAGGCAGGAACTGTGATGACTGCATCTCTCACCTTGTGGCCCAGATAAGCCTCTGCCGTCTCCTTCATCTTGGTCAGAACCATGGACGAGATCTCCTCTGGGTTGAAAGTTTTTCTCTCGCCCTTGAAGTTAACAGCAATCTTGGGCTTGTCATTGTCACACACCACGTCGAAGGGCCAGTGTTTCTTGTCGTTTTGTACGGTGGTGTCGCTAAACTTGCGGCCGATAAGTCGTTTAGCGTCAAAGATGGTGTTGGTTGGGTTGATGGCCGCCTGGTTCTTGGCGGCGTCGCCAATCAGTCGCTCGGTTTCGGTGAAGGCGACGTAGGAGGGGGTGGTTCGATTGCCCTGGTCGTTGGCAATAATCTCCACCTTACCGTGTTGAAACACGCCCACGCACGAGTAAGTCGTGCCCAGGTCAATACCAATTACTGTTTCAGACATTATTTCTCTCTTCTTTATATTGCACTAATAAACAGTTGTACTCAACACGTTTAGGTATTATGTTGTAGTAAGATGTGAAGCTAAACTTGTTATTCCTTGTTGTTGCCTCTGCTATCACAACTTGTGGTCTGAGGCAGAGGCAGTCAGCGGGACGCTTTATACCTAGCCGATTGCTTCCTGTTGTATCTTGGATGTTCTCCGTGTTTCTGGAGTCTTCTCCTTAGCTCTCGAGTCTTCTCCACGTTTTCTCTGGTGCGTTATTTGTTAAAGAAAATGAAAAATATGCTTAGGGTAACTATACTATATTTTACAAATCTCAATTTTTTTGCCATTTTTAATTTAACACCAAAACAAATCACGATCCCGTGTATAATTCCTTGGCGTTGGTGGTAGAATGTCAACAAAAAAGGCGTGGGCTCTCCCTCATGCCCTCGTAGGCTGACTGGGGGTACGTGACGAAGGCATTATGAAGTGTTACAGGCTAGACCTTCTGTCATACAGCTTAGACAAATGAAAGAAGTATATACACATTATTAAAGGTAACTGTATGCCTCTCATTAAAAATACATTTAAATCTTGATATAAACTCACTCAAGAATTTTGAGAATGCCTTAAACTGGCATTTTGTACATTATATACTACAGGTATTTAAACACTAATAGCATAATAGCACTCCTTAACATATATCTACTAAAATGTATCGACTTATTTATGAAGTAAATTGTTGTGTTTATGTTGTGTTGTGTCCTTGCATGTTGTTGTTGATGTGTCGTAGGCTTTATAACTACGCATACTTAATAATGAATTTAAAACAACACCTCCATGGGATGAGATATTAATACTAGACACAGCAGGCACACATCATATTATCTCACTGTTAAACTGTCAGTGAATTATAGACAACAATGAATGTTTACGTCCATCTTCCCTCACAGCTTTTTTTCTTCTTTTAGAGCCACGAATATTCAAATCAGTCTCTCTTAACACACAATTCCCTTATTTATCTCCCCTTTGATTTGGTTACCATGTGTTACAGCGGCTATCTCGGTATGTCATGTATGGATACCTTATATTGCTGCAAATTAAATGGTTTCACGATAAACTGGTATTTAATAATGTTTGTTTTATGCCCTTTAATCAAGTAGTTATTATATATAGATTCAAAACTCTCCATTATTACGCCCAGAAAAGACGTAATGAAATACTTCAACTCACATCTGATGTCTGAGGGATGAACAACAATTGGTAAACATAAACATGGTATTTGTTCAATAAAGAAGTATTATTTATATGAAACTATATTATGTATGATTAATAAACGCTGTAGATATTTGTCCGGTTGCGGTTTGGTAAGCTTTTTTAAACTAACACTACAAGAAGTTGGTAGAATTAGATGAAACATTATTAACATTATATTAAATAGATAAATGGAAACGAGAATGCACATAACCAATTAGAACTTGACCTAACCAACCTAACCTAAAGTAATCTGCCTCACTTACCAGACAAAAACTTTAAAACATACCTGACGACACTGAATGGATTCTCGTGTCCATTCATATATTTAATAGTTGATAATTAACGTTTCCACGAGGTTGTGTCAAATTCTGTCAACTCCTTCTGGTGTTAGTCTAAAAAAATTTCCTAACCGACGACCGGACAAATATCCACAGTGATAAATAAATATACAGGTGTGGGAGTCTCGGTCATTCTGGGTACAGTACTTGCCACTTGTGGGAATGTTTTGTTGCAAACGACTTATATATAGCAGGGACGGGGGGCGGAGACCCCCTTTTAGGAGGTTAGGTTACGTCAATTGCGAGGGAAACGTCACACAGAAGCTATACTCTCCTCCATACGAATGCTTGCGGATGATGCCAAGCTATTCTGGGGAAATTATGAACCAAACAGACTGCAAAAAGCTGCAGAAACATCTCTGTCAGCTCCATGAGTGGGCGAAGAAATGGCTGCTAAGATACAATATCACTTGATGCAAGAGGATGCGTTAATAAAGACCGAATGTGAAAAGGACCTGGGTGTGTATGTTGACAATGAACTGAAGCTCTCGGGCCATAGTGAAAAGAAGGTGAATCAAACAACCAAACTAATAGGTCTTATAAGAAGGTCGATCAGATATCTAGACTGTCAGGTTGTCCAATGGAGGGCCACCAGACTGGTGCCTACACTACGGCACCTCAGCTACCGGGAGAGTTTAGAACGCTTGCAACTGCCTAGCTTATACTACAGACGGGCAAGTGGCGACCTAATTGGTGTTTATAAGCGTCTCGGAGGGCACTACGTCGAAGGTCCATACTTGGAGCTGGTGAAGTCACAAGTTCAAAAAACTGTGAGGGCAAAGTTTTTCGGACTGAGAATTGTGAACAACCTGCCAGAGAGCGTTGTGATGGCACCGAGTGTGAGCTCTTTCAAGAACAGACTTGACCAATACTGAAGCAGGTTCAGGTACATTCAGGAGCCGGTGCATGCCCAGTACCAGCCAACAGTGCGTAACAGAGACGTGACCGATCGCTCAAGCGGCTAACGATCCGATCACTGGTGAAGAGGATAAAAGAAAAGTATAGCTCGAATTGTTTTTATTATGCTTTTTGTGTTTAAATACCTGTAGTATATAATGTACAAAATGCCAGTTTAAGGCATTCTCAAAATTCTTGAGTGAGTTTATATCAAG